ACGAATGACAAAGATCTCTCGATCAGTACTGATCCCTTGATCAAGGATGTTCCTCGTATCGACAAAATCAAAGGTAACCAGATCTCCAAAAGCTTTGAGCTTTCTCTTGAACGCTCCTCGATGTGTCTTGAAGTGTTTCATCTTTGCTCTGATGCATGACTCACAGTAGGGATTCTTGTAACGATGTGTGAGTAGATGCTCGATTTTCCTGGCATCTGCTTTCAGAGTTCCTCTTCTCACCATTCTACTTGCACCGTCAACAACATCCACCTCGATGTCATCTGCATCATCATCGTCAGCTTCTGGTTCACTGTCTCCGGCGACATCTGATCCTACCTCATCTTCTTCTCCCGGAGATGCCTTGAACTTCTTATTCCTCTTTCGCCTTTTGACTTTTGGAGGCTCAATCACAGGAAGGTCGTCATCATCACACATGATTCCTTGAGGATCCACATCACAGTTGATGAAAGTCGATTGGTAATCAGCTTCATCTTCTCCTAGGGTGAACCTTGCGATCATCTCCGCCCTTGTATCGTCGGTGGGAGTACAGAAGTCACTGCCCTTGACAATATATGGGATGTTTCCCTCTACTTCTAACATGATTTTCTTGTAGTTCGGGGAAACCATGTACGGGTTGCCGCAGGCTGGCCATATGAATGTGTATCCTTCCTCCATGCATTTCTTTCCAACAGACAGTACTGAAGGAGACTCATCTAGGACGAATGGGGAGTAGGTAGAGTCAAATTCTTCGAAATGAATGTCGGCGACTCCTTTTGTGGATGTCACTCCATTTGCAGTATAGAATGACATTGATTGGTCGCTTTCTCTCACTTCCAGACCTAATTTCTTGGCTCTGCCTTTCGATATCAAATCATACCCACATCCTGTGTCCATGATGAACTTCGTTCTTGACCCTTTGGCTGGAATAGACAATGTCTTTGTGTCTGCATGATCTTTCTTTCCCTCGCATACATGAGGAATGACTTTATGATGGAAAACTAGGCCGTCATCTTCGTCAAAAGACATAGTGACCGATAGGTCACCCTTTGGTCCAACTGGTATTCGGACCCTCTTGATCTCAGTGTAGGGGACCATCAGTATGCCTCTCGCCTCTGCGACCTTTTCTTCAAATCTGATTTGTTCTTTCCTCGTGTAGCAGGTGAGCTCTTTCTCATCGTATCGTTTGATGTCCGGACGTAGAGGTTTCTTTTCTACTACCTTCCATTTGTCCCTAACTGAGTAGATCGCTTCGTTCAACATGATCTCACAAGTCTCTTCATCAAAGGATACTTTTGCACCTCCTTCTCTTGCCTTGGCGGATGCAGCAATCCCTTCATCTTCGGATTCGTCCATGAAGAGTTCACCGTCAACGGCTGGGGCTCCAGGCTTCGCCTTAGGCTTCGGTTTGGGTTTTGCCTTGGGCTTTGGCCTATCGTCTCCTGAGTCAGCTGGTGCAGATATCCCTTTCTTAGGAGAGGCTTTTGGGTCATGGTAGAACTTGCAATCCTTCCCTTTGTCACAAGTTCCTCGAATCCACATCCAACATACTGGCTTGTCATTCTTTCCGACAGAAGATCCTCTGGATGGTGATCTGGGTTTCTTGTGACTGAATGGGCAATCTTTCCCCATAGTGCAGTTACCTTTCACGAAGAATTTGCATGGTATCTTCTTCTTGTCTGTACTCGGACTTCGGCTGCGATCCTTTCCATCACCTTTACCTTTCCCCTTTCCCTTTTTGTTCTTGTCTTCAGGATGCTTCTTGGGATTGGGTTTCGGCTTCACTGCAGCAGCGTCTTCTGAGACAACCTGTTCTTGTTGCCCTTTTGGTTTCTTCTTCGGATCAGCTGGTGCAGCTTTCAGTTTTGGAGCAGGTCCGCCTGGTTTGAGATTCTGAAAGATATTGGCCACATTCTTCACTGCCTTCTCCTTTTCCAGGATCATCCTGTCTTCAGTTTGCCGTTCGATGTGCCTTCTGATCATATCACGTAGATGTTTGTATGTCTTCTTGGCATCATCGTCGTTCATGCTGTTGTAGGCGCTGATGTCGTATGCCATGAGGTTTGAGTTCCTGATCTTTCTCCATAGGAGATCCCGAAGAGTTTCGTCGCTCGGGACGTCAACGGGCTTCATTCCTGCCAGAATCTCATCCCAAGTGTGGAAGAACAACGATAAGTTCTTGTCTCCTTGATATTCTAGTTGGTAGAGGTGCATTGAAGTATATAAGACTTCCACATTTGATGTTGTCTTGAAATTCATAAGGATCAGGGCTAGGACCTCTCTTCCCTTTATGAGGCTTGATGTTCTCCCTTTTGCATTGATCCTCGTCCTCAACTTCATAGCTACACCTGAACCATCATCTTTCGCATCCATGACGACCTTGGTAAGAGCTAGGCCGAGTTTGGCATCGATTGAATGGAATCTTTGGTCTCCTGAGTCGACAAACTTGTCCGGATCAGGGTCGTCCATGGCTTCTTTGATCCAGTCGATCCAGGGCTCTTGATCTGAATCATTGGCCGCAATGATGATCGATTGAATGAGATTTGCCTTCCATAGTCCAAGATCATTGATCCTGGGCCATGACGGAACGTTTATCTTTGATTCTTCCTTCCTCGATACTTTCATGATTGTAGAGGTTGCCGGTGCAAGATGAGATGAAGAGGATGCTTCTGCTTCTGAAATCTTGTCCCTCAATGATTTGTTCGCCTCGGATAGCTCAATTGATTTCTCCCTTTCCTCGGCGTACTCATTGTGGGTTTCAGCATACCATTCATACATCTCATCTCGGCTCTCTGTCATTTCATTGTACCCGTCCTTGTAGTGCTTCGCCTCCTCTTTTGCGTTCCGAATCTCATCTTCCTCGGACGCGTGGGTTGGTAACCCGCGGTCTCTGGAACTAGGACGCTTGCTGTACCGAGAGACTATGGGTGCCATTCGTGCTTCTGCTTTTAATTTCGCATTTTCCATAATGACATTCTTTGTCTCCTTCTGGCTTTCCAATAGTGCATTCTCCAGTTCTCTGATCTTCTGTTGAATTTCAGCACCATCATCGCCGAACATAGGAGCTCTCATCATATTCTCTCTTTTCAGCTGTGCGTTGGCTTCGGATAGAGCGAGGTTGGCGTCTTTCAACTGTTGTCGTTCACGGATGGAACGTTCTAGGACTTCGTTGTTGAATATTTCTCCTTTTGCGATAACCTCCTTTGCGACGTTTGCTTCGTATTCATGGTGGCTCGCCTTCATTTCTGCCATTTCTTTAGCAGAGACTTCAGTCTGGCATACAAACATCTCCATCCTCATGCCCACTTCCATCTCTTCTATCTCCGCTCTCGCGTTGAGTTCAGCTCCACGTGCCATAGCTAGTTGACCTCGTAGATGATCAATAACCATAGCTTCCTGATTGCTCTGATCCTGAGATGAGTGAACACTGTGTTGAAGACGTCTTTCCCTGACCTCACTGTTCCATTGTTCTTCTCTCTGGTGTTGGATCACCTCGTGCATGTTGACATTCTCGTCCTGTAGCGCAATCATTCTAGCTTGTATCTGGTCAGCTATTCCGACGAAGGCTGTGTTCTCATCCTGAATGGCTTTTGATCTTCTATTGATCGCCAATGAAGATTCATTCTGTTCTTGGATGTGTCCAATTGCTGCTTGAAGCTCTTGGGACATTCTGTCCTTCGTTGCTTTCACAGATTCAAGCTCTGAATGTTCTTGATGAGTTTCTTGTGCAAGCTCTTGATATCTCATGTAGATATGTTCAGCTGTCGATTCCGCCAAGCGTAGCTTGTGTTCGAGCTCTTCAATTCTTATTGTCGCTCCTTCATCCTCCTGTGTCATCTCCTGTAGATGTTCCTGCATCTTCCTGTTGTAGTCAGACATTTGCCTGAACTCCACTTCAGCCTCGTGGTGTAGTCGTGAGTATCCGGCTTGGATGCATTCATATTCTTCATGAAGAAAATTGTATGCGTTTCTCGCCGATCTCAATTCTTCACCCAGCTGAATCTCTCTTCTTTCCTCTTTTGTTCCTCTATCATCGTCACGTCTCTTCTCTATACTCCTTCTTGGGGATCTCGCGGTAGACGTTATAGGCGATGTAGATCTTGTTGTAGCTCTCATCGATCTTCTTGGTCCTACGGGTGCAAGATCGGTCAGATTCCGAGCCGGTGGCACGGATCTTTCCGAGATTTGTGATCCAGTAGGCATAGTGATAACGTCAGCATTTGCTGATGAATCAGTACCCATTGTAGAGTCTGGTGACGAAATGGTGTTGGGACCACCAGGAGCAGCGAATGAATAGGGTTCGCTTCCATTTCCTCCTGAGCTTGACATTGCAGGTTTCTGTAATGACTAGTCTTGTTCTTGGTCTCGTGTAGCTCGTACGGCTATAAAGAGCGCGTACGGCTGATAACCTGCGAGTGGATCTTAATCAGCGAAGTTTGAAGCTATCACTGACGGTCCATAAGCGGCGTAGCGTCGGAACGGAAACCGCACCTTTTCTAGTCGCTTGATCCTTGAGCCAAAGTACATATGGTACATATATATGTACAAGTTGCACTGTACGTGTCGCTGCACTTCCATTCGCAGTAACATTCCAACACTTGTTCAAAGCTTGATAAATTTCCAAAGCTTTGTTCAAATATCTAAAGGTTCAATACTTTGTAAAAACTTCGTAGTTCCAAAGTTTGTAAAATTCAATATACTGTAAGTTTCCAAAACTTTGTGAAGTTTGTTATTTCTATGTTTAAACTTTGTAGACTTTGTTAAAACTTTGTAATTCAAAAACTCGTTTAAAAAAAAAAAAACTTGTAATTCCAAAACTTTGTCAAAATTTGGTAAAGATCCAAAACTTTGTAAACACTTTGTAGAAAGTTTGTTTGAAGACCTGCGAAAGCTGTTCAAGAAGAGCTGATCTTTGGATCAATGAGACTGCTTGCATTTTTTTGTAAAAAACGACATTTGGTGCTTGCGCTTTGGGAATTTGTGACTGATGGCTGTAGTGTTTCAGGGTATTGAGGGTGAGAAGAAGGGTCGAATTGCTATTGGTTGTGCAAGTGTTTTAAGACTTGGCCACGGAAACACCAAAACACGTCTTTCATGTTTTCCAAATAACATTGGTGCAACACACTTCTTGCGAGCAAAGACACTAAACTCAAGCAACTTAACAAGACCCCTGGCGAATGTGACTGTCCCTCTCCTGGATTAGCTGCTTCACCATTTTGACTGGCAGTCCCTGCGCCTGAAGTTGAGACCCAATCTCTTGCTGTATCATCTGCTCCGTTGCTCGCGTCTGCATGATGTGGCATGCGAAGAGTTCTGCATGCACACCATCGCCACAAGACACTGCCTGCCAGCCTGTCTCTGTGAAAGAATTGCTATGTAGCTGGACCCTGAGGGGAGGAACATCTGCCTTATCTTTTCGCAAGCTCTCGCGGGTCTGCTGCGAAACTTGCTGCATGTACTGCTGTGCAATTTGCTGGTCACGGGGCACATTTGCAACCTGAAGCTTTTGCCTGGTCGCATGACCTTTGTCGTCCACAGCTCGGGCAGATGCCGCAGGGCGACAACCATCGAGTTGCACGGCCTCTTTCTTTGTAGCCTGAAACTCGCAGCGACGAATGACAATTTCTCCCGTCCGCGCCGCTGCTTGAATGCCCCTACAGCAGCCGCAAAAGCGGCAGTTGAGGAGCTCGACATGTCCAGCACTGCGCATCTCCACTGCCATGTTGGTCATGTCGTGAAACTCACAAAATCTGGCCTGCAAGCGGCCTTCGACCACGGTCACACCACCAGACCCCTTAAGAATACACCCCTGCAACGTCACAATGCTTGACCTGTCTCCTGCAGCGAGGAGCCCCATGACTGGCGCATGGCTGCCCTCCTGCATGCTGATGGTCTCAACTACCAGCTCACCTCCCTCGCAGGAGATACCCAGGTTTGCCTCTGGGCGAGCTTTCACCAGCAGCACCTTGCCCAGCCCGAGCAGCTTCACACGCCGACCTGCAGCAACCAGCGGGAAGTTGACCTGGTAAGAGCCAGGGCAAAGCACTCCCAACAAGCTGTGTTTGATGTCTTGGCGGCTCCCAACCTCCAGTTCCAAGGCTAGCTGCGCTACATCCTCATTTGTTTTAAGTAGATGAACTGCATCCGGCAGCTTGGAAAGGAGGGGCCTCACCTCAGAATGCTTGTGGCCCAGCAAGGCCGCCGCAGCTTCTAGGTGGCTCATATTCTCCGACAACATGAAGGCGCGCAAGTGGCACAGGCCATGCTCCGGGTTGAGTTCCAAGCAACTCTCAGCGTGTTGGAGGGCAGCATTCAGATTGCCGAGGCCTTTGAAGCACACAGAGAGGTTGTTGTGCAGCTTTGCCAACTCCTCTCCATCACCACCAGCCTGGGCAACAAGCTCTTCATAGACAGCACACGCTCCTTCTAAGTTTCCAGCCCTATAAAGGGCATTTGCATCCTCCCGTGTCCCGGCCATCGCTTCCACTCCCTTCAGAATTCACTGAAACTTGGGATGAATGGCAGCATCACGTTTCAACGGAGCCTTGTTCAACCCCCATACAGGCTCCTTCGAAACCTAAGTACCGCATTCCCACTCCAGTTTGGATGAAAAGCGGCACCATAGAAAGGAGATGAAAGGAGTCTTCGCTTGCTTGGTTAAGCAGGGCAAGAGATTTCGGAACGCCAGCCCACTGACCAGCATCTGAAGACCGTTAGGCGAACGCTTAAATACGTAGTTTCCAAACCCGTGATGGCACATGATGGATACATTTTTGCCCGGAAAGCCGCCGCCTCAAACAACCAAGCTCCTTGAAGGCCGCGAGGGCCTCCTTCTCACTCAAGGCCCCAGTGTCCGACCTGCTGACAAACGTCGACATGTTTTTGGGGCAGATTTGACACGTGATCAAGTGCAGGTTGTGGATCTTCCGCACATCCCGGAAAATCTCTGACCCAAGCTTTGAGCTGTGCTAGTCGTGCCGGAGGGTTCAAGCTTTGACATTGTATATCTGTATATTTGGGGTTGTCACATGTTCGCTTTCGGGAATTGAAATCTCAGGATCTTGACACCAAAGGACACTCAAATAAGTCCAAAATACTGTCCAAAATCCAAAAGAATCCCCGGAAGAAGACCTGGTGCTAAAAAGGGCGGCCGAACTAACATGGAACACTGTTGCTGTTGCGCCATAACATGGGCGCCATAGGGGCTCCATGAAGCTCCATGAGGTTCGGATAGGCAACCACCCTGGACAGTTCGGCACCCAAACAATCCCCCATCATCGCCGTGGGAGGTAAACAGGAGAGCCTCTCCCGATTCTTCACCTCCCATTTGAAGGGTGCCCGGAAAGTCTTCAGAGTATTGTTGGATCCTGATTCGTCCCCACGGTTTGGAACATGTGGACTGTGGAGTTGCCAGGCTTCGAAACATTTCATATCATTTAATCTTATTTATATAAGGCTTGAGCTGGATTTCCTTCATGATTGAATCCTCACTGGAAGTGATTCCAGAAATTGGCATGATCAGGTGCCCGCTGCCCTCCATTCCTTTCGGGTATTGCCTGTGTTCATCCCGACCTTTTGGCTTCGGGGGGGTCACCCACCACAGCGCCCAGTATTTTTCAGGTTCTGCGCTGAACCGATGCGAACAAACATCGAAGGAGTAGAACAACATCTGTTTCAATCCCTTTCAATCTTCTTCCCTTCTGACGTGTTTCGAATCTGTCTTGCTCTGACGTCTCAAACAACCCTCTTCCCAGCACCACATTCTCTCGGCCTGTCGTGCATCTGGATGGCGGCCTGTCGCCGGGTGATCGAACCAGCTCAGTTTGTGCACCGAATGGAGGGTTCAACGGCTGCTCCCGGCCACAGGTTGGCTGAATCCGCCAACACCAGGCTGGGCTCATCCAGGCTCCACCAGTTGTTTTGGTTTCTCAAAGCTGCTCAATCCAAGTCAGCAAAGCCTTTTCCGCGTTCCTATATAGATGTTCCTAGTTCCTAGTGTTTTGTTGAAGCCTTCGAGCCCTGGAAGTGAAATGGAGGAAGGCACTGAGGAAGGCGTGGAAGCTGATGGAAGCTGAACAGTACCTAAATGCGGCTTTGGGAGGCTTCGGAGTTCCTCACCAAACTGAGGTGACCCTGGTGCATTGGATTAGTGACAAAGACAAATTGGATACACAAAAGGCCTATTATAATAAGGCAATCATAGGCAATCATTGCAAAAAAAAAACACATATAGATCCCTTTGGAATCCGTGTATCTTCAAATCCTTCTGACATCTTATGACAACTTAGGGCGACGCCCTGCCTGAAGCTCATGCGTCCGTTTCTCCCGGATGAAGCGCACCAGCCTGGGATGCGGATCCGCTGCACCGCTGAACCCGTCAAACACATGTCGTGCAGTCGCCATGTCACGACCAACTGGTGCTAGTTGCACTAGACTAGTTGCAGTGCATCCCTGACTTCATGCGTCGACAAATCTTCTCCCTAGTTGTGCCAAACACACACCAACACCGCCACAACTGGGCCCCATCCTTGAAATGGTGGCAGTTGGCCTGTCAGCCTGCAGTATGTGGCATGTTTATCATGTTTCGTCTTCTGTTTCGGGAGATGAACAGTAGGGACAACCTTGAAGTATATATGTTGTAAACTGCGTCACTGAGTTGCAAATACTGTATAGCTTTTTCTTGGGGGGACCTTCAAGTGAGCAGAATAGAAATGGGAACACCACTAGGTCAACCATCCAGCTGCTCTATAGTCCTCGACCATCCAGGTCCTCTTCAAGTGGAGCTTCTTGGAGCTCCAAGTCGTGACATGAATTCCGTGACTGCTTCCGGTCATCCCCCCATGCATCATCTGTGTCAAGAACTATGGTCATTGATGGTGCTTTTCTTGGGTGAAGGTCTCCAAGTAGTGGGATGATGTGGTAGATGCATTCTCAACAGCACAGCCACTTCATCAGCTCCAGGATATTCAGTGTGGCCGATCGGTCGATGTCCACCTGGTGGCGAGGATGCAGCTGATGGTCTTCGGCTCAAAATCGCTTTGCAACTTGGGAACTCTATAGGCCCAAACTTGGGACTTTTATTGGCCGCACCTCTGGAGCCTCAATCTTCCCTTCAGACTGCATCGATACAGTCCGATACGGGGATTGTTTGTTCTGGATCAGTCTCCTTGTGTCACCTCCTCCGCACCGAGATGCACTCGTGAAATCCCACCATGACCAAATATCACCAGGCACCAGTCAGTATGCAAGCTTGATTCAGCTGCTTTTAGAATTGCCCATGAAGTCCCTTCATTCACTGGGCATCGACAGGAGATCTAAATCAGAACCACACCTGCGCCACGAGTTGCTTCTGATCTTCAAGGGCAAGAGGGTAGCCGATGAGGCGTAGGATCCTCAGATGTTCCGTGGCAATGTCTGGTCACCACCGACCACCACCAATCCCAACAACCCGAGGCAAACAAAAGCACACCACCGGACCGCCGCAAAGACTGGTGGAGCCCCACCCCTTTCAAAAGGATCACGACGAACTTGAGACACAATTTTGAAGGGTTAACTCCACTGGACTGGGAAACAGAAACACCTTCAAGCGTCTTTGTGACATCATCGGTTTGAACCTCCCGGAAGGCTTCGTCATCATCCTCCTCGCCGGAGGCATACTTTCGAAAAGCCTGGCCCAGAAAGGCTTTCTGAGACCCTCATCTGAAGGCACCACTTGGATCTGCTCTAAGGGAATTGGGATCAACTCAACAATCTTAGCTTGTGATCTGCTAGCATGATGCTACCTATAAGGCCTGCCCAAACTCGCATAGCATCCCCAACCACCCGCTGCTCCACAGAAATGTGTAGAAGGAAGGCTGCATAATGTTTAAGATTGCCAAGCCGTTGATATAGAGGTCTGGCATATGTATCTTTGATTATATTTCTACGTCGGGTGAACAAAAGCAACCGCTGAATCAGCGTTTCATCGCGCAGCTGGCCTGACGCGTGTGCATCATCTCGGCGCGCGTTAGGCCTGGCAAGAAACATGATGAGACGAGCTCATGGAACCCCAAACAGCCCAAACATGTCTGTATACAGTCTACTTCTCTTCCGGGGCCCACATGAAATTTGCAGAAATAAAAAACATTGAGATGATTGAGATGATCATGATGTTGAGTAACACAACGGCCGTTGCTACAAAAAGACCATGTAAGTTTCCGACACACTGAACAACACAGTGGAGAACTGGCCACGAGACAAACAAATCAACTCTGGCCCCAAACAGGAATCCCGATATCGTTGATGTGACCGAACCCCGTGAAACAAAGTTAAATAAAATAGACTGTAACACACTGAACTGTGGAATCGATGATCGATCGATCGACTCTTTTGCAGGGTTTCGTGATGTCTTCTCACCGGCATCTCCGAACACGAACGCCCGAGTTCCGCGCGCCACCTTCGCGTTGCCGGAAGAACACCAGGAATTTCCAGAGACTCCCCAGGCCGATCCGCTCGTCCTGCTCCTAGGGAAGGAGCGAAGGGGGGGAAGCAATGCGAGGGATCGAAAAGGAGGTCGATTCCCGGGTTTGTGGGTGAAGTCACAGAAATCAATATGTGCTTAGATGTGCTTAGCAAATCTTGGCAGGGGATGAGCAATTGGATCTTACAACATCTTACAACCAAGGCTAAAGGAATTTGACTCTTTTAACCACTCTGTGTTGCTTCTGGCTAAGAGCTGAGTGATCTTGCTGTGGGCCCCAGAGCAAAATGGACAACTTCCCTGAAGCCCATCCCATTCCAGCCGGGTTCTCCCGAAACACTGTTGAGGCTGGGCTGGTGCGTAATCATATGCACCATCCAAACCATACACCATTGAAATTGCTGCAGGTTTGCAAGGAGATCATTCAATTCCCAAGACTGTTGATAGAAGGAATCCACAGCTAAGAGTTATCACCCTGAATTCCAAGAACTCTGTCCACATCTTTTCACCATGAGCGCTGAAACCGGATTTCTTCCAAGCATGACATCTGCCACGCTGTTGCCACGGGGGAGGCTCTCCGGGCCTCCATTCCAATGTCCACCAGCACCTCGTTGACCACTTCCTGCGCCGCCCCGGAGCTTGGCTGAGGCCGAAGCCCAAGGAGCTTGGGAGTGTGTCAACCCCGGAGCTCAGGGCAAATGAGCCCGGTGAATGTTGAAATGACTACACTGAGAACCTTTCATGACTAGGCTCTCGCCTTAAACTCTTTGCGTTTTGCACATTGGCTAGCACAGCGGTACCCCACAGTCAAGAACTATTCCGTCGCAAGTGCTCCTGATCCGCCACGTAGCCGGTTCTCTGCAGTAGATCCAACATGGAGCTGGCTTCGATGCTTTCTTAGTTGCACTGCTCTTCTGAAAAGGCGACTTATTTTATTTAGAGACCCAAGTCGCCCATGTAGAGTTGTTCTCCGTTACGGCACTGACCAAAGCCCATGAACAAAGCCCTTTTTACAGTTATAACGGATCTTCCTTGATTGCGTATTGTGACTCCCAAGTATATAGACAAGTGAATCCGATGTTAAACACTTGACGGAGACCATGAAAACGTTATATAATCTACAGGTGGGGTGGCACTAGAATCAAGCCATTTCAACAGCTAGCGCTTAGAGTCCCAAGATTTGATTGATGGCAAATGACGGAGTTGTTTTAGACAATTAAGCGGGTTGAGCGGTTGGCTATGGTACTGGCTATGGTTTTTCAACAGAACTTGTACATGCAAGACAACATTGGACGTGCATGGAAGGATTTTGGCAGTCAAAGGAGTTGGTTAGTCGCTTCACCGCAGCGGCCATGCCATCCACCTAACTACGATAACATCTTTGGCTTACACCCGCCTACAAAAGCGTAAGGCGTATGGAAAACGTCCAGTTCATCATTGGTGCTCCAGAGGAAAAGACATTGTCGAGCGTGCCATCAGTATCCGCAAGTCAGCAACTACTTTCAAAGCACCTAGAATATCACAACAAATGAATGGCGGGTATCCCCCAAAACCTCCAAGAAGAAAAGAACTTCTTCCGCTCTGGTGCGTATGGCGGCGGCGGGCGCTACACAACTCACGATCCAAGGCACCAGTGTGATCGGTGCCAATATCCTGGTGAAAGATGGTGAAACTTCATGTTGACAAGGAATCAAACCCGCCAGGGCTGGAGATGTAGCAATTGAAAACATTATGATTAAAACTATTCACTGGTAGGGAAGGGCTGTTTCATCAACAGTTCGCATGACCATGAAGACACACTTTCAGAAGTGACTTTGGCGACCGACCGAAGCTTGGTGCGAGCAGGCCGTTTGGACGCCTTGGTGCAAAGTTGCGGAACATGGATCAGAAAGCACAAAAGGCTGATGAACATCATCATAAAGCCTATTTGAGGCAAAGCCATGTGAGCGTGGGTCAGTTCACAAACTTTTGTTTGGATTGAGGATGGGCTTAGCCCAGGATGGGCTGGAGCTTGAAGGGTTCTTTGGGTCTGGTTCCGATGGCCATGTCAAGGTCTAGAAGGCCACGGTTTTGGATGGCGCGTCCAATCTGCCAATCTGAACGCCCCCCAGAAGCACCCATCGGCATGTCCTTGAAGCTGTGGATCAACCTGACTGGTCTGTTTCCCGCCCCGGCACCGATGTTCGCTCCTGTAGGGTCTGTTTCAGCTCAGTCAGCTCTCGATCCCGGAAGAGCCGCATGCACATGAGGAACTCCTGTGGGCTGGAGTGGGCTGGAGCTTGGAGCTTGGAACAAAGGTTGAGGGATCGATGTTGAGGTTGCAAATTGGAGCATGAAAAGCCACTAAGGCTTTCAGAATGGAAGAGTGAACTATGATTCGACGCAGCGACATGTTCCAGCGTCTTTTTGTCCATGACAATGCCTGGAAGTCCACGTAGCCACTGTCATCCAAATCAACAATCTCCGCCACGTCCTGGCACTCCTTAATGCTTGCCCAGCCGGCGCCCAACCCCGAGGTCGCCATCATCAGAGTCCCGAGTTCCTTTCGTTGGATCCCTGTTTGAGTGGGCACAATTGCCAATTTAACATAGATTCTGTGGGATTCAATGCGCATGTTAGGTGTTGCGCATGTAACCCATCCTCGGTGACCCGCATTGTCCTGAGCCCCTGTCCCCGCACACGAGGCATGGTCCGCACAAGCACTCCCGAAAAACCTCTCTGCGGACTTGCCGAGCTGCCCTTGTGAACTTGCTGTGAAAACCTTACCATGGTTTACAATCCCCAAGCTCAGTAGTATATTTACATATGTATACACAGTATATAATATATATAGTTATATATACATATATATATATGTATGTGTATAAACATATACTATAGTAGTATAAGTAATATGGACCCCCATCTTAACAAGATCTTGAATCCTGGGGTCTGTATGGGTCTGTGCCATCTACCCTGAAACCGCTTGGTGGACAAAGGTAGAACACCTGGACACTCGGTGAGGCCGATCGAGATCCGTGTTGCTGGACCGACCTGAGAGCTGTGGTCCTCACATCCATGGAACGATCCCCCAATGGGAGGAACTGTCATTGGTTCGTGCGTGTTAGGGGCATGTTAGTTGCCCATCTGGATACCCATCTCTTGAATGAAACATTTGTTGCGAGAGTTGCTCTGAAGAGTGTGTCAATATCCTACACCAAACTCAAACTTCTTCATCTGAGCCCGGCTGAGCCCTTCCAAAGCTTGGACATGTCTCCTCTGCCAGGACCTTCTCCCCAAGATGAACAGTGAAATATATACTGCAAATCCAATATGTTTGAAACATGAGCTCGGCGTACCCAAACCGTGGAGACTACTGGTAGGTCATGGTTCTACACCATAACCTACAGCCTCCGTCATATCCTGCAAAGGTGTAGCAAAATGGGGGGCCCAACTCACCGCAATGCTCACACGCTGCATTGTCCCGACCCAGGCACCGCCAAAGTGGTGGGAATTCCCAAATACATCAGCACCTGTTGAAGCTCCTGCGCATGTAGAACTGTGGTCCCTCACTTGGGCGGCTGGGGCAGCTCGACGCATTCACAAAACATCGAGGACAAGGGGCATGTATTGAACTGGTTGAAAGCAAGTGATGCATCGGCCGTTTGTGCGCGTCGCCTCTCAGCATACAACTGGGAGTGGGTCAAACATCAAATGTAAATCAACATTGTCACTAATAAAGGAAATCAAACACATAAATACCAACAAACGAAATAAATTGTGCAGTGCAGCTTGCATCATGTCAGACTACTCTTCTCAAGCGCAGGTTACTCTTTGACTCTGATCAAAGTCCGAAGATCTCTGTCCTTCACATCAATCTCATCCTGGGATGACAAAGCGGATAAATGATGTGTGTTTGTGTGTGTTAAGACTGTTAAGATGTGTTAATTAGTTACACCCTGGGCTAGACAACCCTGGGCTAGACCTTCCTTGAACATGCCCAACCTCGCCAACGGATTAGGAACATGATATGTCTCTATCGAAATCTGTTTCTGAATGTTAGGAGATTCCAGCAACAGGCAACACTCATGACCGCCCGCTGATGAACGTATTGGAGAGGAAAGGTTGCTTGTCTATGTGAAACATCAAGACAACTTTGCCCAAAGACCGAAAATATGGGCGGTAAGCGGCTAAATCAAATATATCTTTAATTGCTTCTCCACCCTTGCTGTCACCATACTTTACTTATGGCCGCCCGGCCCCTCGGTTTCCATACTAACATATACAGACCTGATCCCGCAGCCGTTCTGCAGCACATCAAGGAATGTCTTGCACTCAAAGCAGCTCTCTCATTGGAGGCCAAGGAGCGTTGCCATAGGTGTCGAACTTGTTGAAGACCTCAAGTTCGCGGAGAATCAGTGAGGCTTCATCATGGAACCCGTTAACGAACGTTCGGATGGTTTTTGGCGGACACACCATCCTGAACTCGGGGGTCGTTCAGATTCCATGATCGATTTTGGGCGTTGCCGCGTTGCCTACCACAGACACACGAGAAAGAATTGCGGTGTGTCTGAAGATTTCTGAAGTTTTTGTTTTCACGCTGCGCAACGGCCAGCGTTGCTTTGGGGCTGGACCGTTGCTTTGGAGCACCTTGGCCCAGCAAGTTGAAGTGAACCTATGACACACAACCGTCAATGACCTCACCAAGGGGGTTCTTCGTTGTCCAACTGTCAAATTCACTTCACGTTGAAGTAAAAGGATTCAATGGAGGCTTTGGGAGAATCCTTCTTGTCTAACATTGTAACATGCAACATCTCGGGTCATGGAAGACCGCTACTAATGCCCACATACCCGGCCACATCATCCATCCGCACCATATCTAAAAACAAAGTACACTTTCGCACCCCCCACTCCATCCCACTCCTCCGTCCGCGTCTCATCTTCGCTCTTCCGCCGTCCGAGGCGCGGTCTCGAAGTCCCGCACTTCGGTCTTCGAGAAGCCCTCGCGTTGCGCCAGCAGCCGCATGACCTGCGACCGTGGTCCACGGGTTAGGGGGGAGGAAACAGGACCACCGGTCCCTGCTGAAGCTTCTGTTGCAAGGCTGTTCTGAAGGGGTGTGCCCCAAAGTTATGTCACAACTTAGGAAGCCACTGCTTTTGGGCTGGTAAAGCCCCCGCTGCACTATACTAGCCCAGCAGTTTTGAAAGGAGGCTTTTATAGTCCAAGAACAAGATTACCCTGTAGCCCGGCCCTACCAACAAATAGACATGATATGTATCTACAACGTCTTCTCGAGAATTGTATGGAGGTGTTTCTGTATCCTCTTCTGAGACGAAACGAGATGTCTTGCCTTGTAGAAAGCGTCGAAGCAAATCTCTCCCGATTCCTCCTGGTGTCAACGACGGCCGGAGCTGCTGGTTGAACGACAAAGCAATGCTGATTGAGCAACTTGCCAGAACGATAGAGGGTGAGGATAACTGTGTAGACTGGAGCAACGCAAATCAATACATGATATCATAAATGCAATCGAGACTATTTATCATGATCCATTCCAGAAACTACCAGAAACGGAGCCTCATCGAACTCGTCGAAGCATTCTTGCAAGACATGTTTCCTGAGAAAATATCTTGCGCGACAAGCACAGGCAAGTGACAAGCACATCGTGAGGGTCGCCTCCAATGGCCCAACATGGCGGGCCTCAAACCATCGAAGCAAGCCTTGCTTCTTGACCGTCATTCTTGTAAGGTTGCACCGCACCAAACCCTTGGTGATCAAGCCACTGAAAATGATGGGTCTGAGTCTAGACGAGACGGTCTTCTCACTCCAATGAAAGTTCTTCAGAAAATTGCCAAAGGCCAAAGGGATTCCAGCCACCCCGAGCGCCGACCAGAGCGCCCGCTTTGTCCACCAACAACTTGAATCAAACACGCACACCACCCGAGAAAGTGATCTGCCGGTGGCATTCAGCGTTTTGTTTGATGTTTCCATCTTTGTTTTGATGAACATGCTGCTACCCCCAGTGTCTCAACGAACCTGACCCAAAAACCCAACCCCTTCACCCCTTCACGAGAGTGCCGCTGAGGCACATGGGCTCGATGCCGATGGTGCGAAGGAATTCCCCAAATTCATCCACATCCATCCTTAGCTGAAGAATGCGCATCGTGGTTTTGCACGGGAAAACAAGTTCTGGCACATCTCAAACACCTTCTAAGGTGAAACCATTAATCAACATTGTGTGCTCAGTGTGCTACATGTCCTGCGGAATCAAACCCTAAACCCTAAACCGTCCGTTCCAAGGCTTAGTGACTTAGTGTGTTGAACTGTGTTGAAGTTGAAGAGGGATTAAGCAAACCTGAAAAAATTGGAGGCGGCATCGTCTGTCGCCATGAGATCTTCTACCAGCCTCATGTGGCTTATGCACCATGATGTTTGTCTGGTGCTTGGCAAGTGCTTCTTACAACTCAGTCCTCAAAATGGACACCACCACCACCACTACCACCACCACCACCACCACGACCACCACCACCACCAACAACAACAACAACACAGTTAAGCACAATAGTGTTGGACCCAGCGGGTCTGCCTTGGGGGAACCGTCACCAATATACCCAGGTTTTGGCAAGCCCACCCGGTGCGACTTGGAGGTGACGATAACGGTTGTGACATTCGAGAGTCTCACAGTCTCCCCCATCGATCTCTGTCTGCGTTGTTGGATTGAAATATGTTTACATTGCTACACTATTTGAGTATATTAATATACAATACAGTCACACACATATATAGATATATTATAGTATAATTAGTAATTGTATGATTTCCCCAGATGTGGTGAGTCTAGTGATCTGATTTGCCCCGGAAAAAGCGGACGGATTCTTTTTCCACGAAAAAGGCGGGGCGCCCTACCATCCGGACCCGCGAAGCTGGAGGCAGGCGCAACCACGTGATGATTCGTCGTTTGCCCCGTCTTGGCATGTGCCATCAAAGCACTAACGCCCGGTGCTTTAATTTGAAGACTCCATCTTTAACTGCTCAAGTAGATTGCACCATGCACACAACACTGCAACAACAAACAGCTTTCCTACTACATTGATGATTGTGCACTTATACCATTTGTGCACGATGACTTGTCGTTTGAGCGTGGTTGCTGTTTCCTGCTTCCGGTTCAATCGTCTCCCAGTTCGAGACACTCGACCGCGACCGTGGCTTGAGTACAGCTGTCCATTCTATATCAGCCTCGCCGGATCAACCCCGAGCGATTTGGGCAATCATCCCATAAAGTAAGGAATGATCATCTTCAAAGCATTTGCTTTTCACCTGACCATTAACAATTTGCAAACCTCCTTCGTTTGTATTAGTTGAACGGTCGAACTCTACTCATGAGAGATGGGAGACGAGCCCAAAGCTGTGACTTTTACCAGGTTTTTACCAGGTATCCAAACGGTGGCTGCAAGAACAATCCTATCTGAAGCACTAGTCGGCCAACGCCCCCCAGTTGCTACAAGCTGTTCCGGGCTTCAGGTCCACAAATCGAGTATTTGCTTGATCCCTCAAAGCCAGCTAGTTCCTCACAAGCCCACTTGATCTTCAGAAGCCACTCCCTACATCTCCCCCGGTTGGTGAAGAACTGGTCTACGCCAACCTTCAAGCCACGGTGCTCCAAGGCCCCGCTCGCAGGTATGGATCACATTTGAGTCATGTACAAAGATCTAAAACGTTTTGTTTAAAGGAATCCTTTGGGCGTCACGGCCAAAGCCAAAGCCCCCTTGATTTCTTGCCAATGTGAGCCACACCCATGGTCCTCTCGTGATGACTCCTCCGGAGACACGTGCTGGGACATGGACGTAGTGCAAAGCGACGCAGAGAGCTCTGGCAACGCTGGATCGCCGAACATGGAATGTATATATGATATACTATATTTTATTTTATAATATACACCACCCTATATATTATACAAAGGGTGGTGAAATATGGTGGTATATATAATCTATATACGTATCTATACGTAGGTAAGGGTAATGGATAAATTTTCTATTTGATCCTGTTGACACCCAAGCACCTTGGCAAGTCCAAGCCGTCCTGAATGTTGTGGGGTTGTTTCTGGTGATTTTCTTCTGTCAACAGCAAAAAACTGGTCCCTTTCTCCCCTGCTGAAAGCGATTTGCCGTTCTCAATCTGCCGCAAGTCAAGCATTGTTTCAAACTTCCCCCAATTCTTTTCGCCCCCTTCCTTGCAACAAGCGTCTCCATGACATACAAGGAAAAGCTATAGTCTAAGTGTCTTCCACGCGTCTTCCACACCCATAATTATTGCAATTTGGGTGAGGAACCCACGTGAACAACCCACGACCAGAAAATGGTCTGACTTTGTGTTTTTGGGCACCCCATGTGTTCTCTGGGTACGTCTCTGGGTGTGCCCTCCTTGGGGAAAAGCTCAATCGATGGCCTCCAACCTAAGAGCGATGACAATTAACATTCTACAAAGGGTTGAAATTGGATTTCCATCATTGTCCACGATCTATCTTCAGAGTCTAGCTGTCTTATGCTGTCTCAGTGTCTCGCGTTTGCAACTCTTTGGATTGTCACGTTCGTCCGGCCAAAGCTCCCTGGCAAAGCCATCAATCGTGAGTCACGAGACAAAACCCGCCACTCCCAGATAAACTGTTCTTTTAAACCATCACTTAGCCAAGATCTAAACAGAGTTTTGAGAGGAGGTGTTGGTGTGTCGAGGAAACCTTTAAGTAAACATCAACAATTAAATATATTCAACACAACCTCCAGAATTGCTTTCGCCCAAGCCAACTGGGCTCACTGACCTAGTCACTCACCTGGCAGTGGAATATTATATGACCGAACTTACGTAGACTTTTTTGACTTGCAAAACGTCTGCTAAACATCCGTCGCTCAACATCGGCGCAGACCTGGGGACCCAGTACCCTGAGAAAGCCCCATCCTCAAAGAACAGAATGTCGCAGGTGGGGGAACCCGATCAAATAAATGGCAAAACATGCGATATGGAGGACTGTTCGCGTTTTCAGAATACGGCGCAGCATTCGAGATATAGAACTCTTGGGTCTGCAATTCAACTCGCTGTCACGGGGGAAATTGGATTGGTCACGCACGTACAACTATGCACGCGGTATCACGCGGTGCTTCTTGTCTTGCGGTGCATCGTTGTCTTACTTGAAGCCCAGCCATGGGTATAGGGGCAACACACAAAGATAGAGGTGCCATCAAACAGAAAGTCGGCGTCACCCCTCAACCAGCTCAGTACCGGTAGTTATAGTGTTCTCATTCGAGAATGTCTCATCATGTCTCATCTCACAACTTCCTCAGATTCTTTTTGGCATCTTGTCTACCATCTGGGAGTGGGAACCAACAAAGAGGCCGTGCGAACGCCTGCACCACAGGTGAACTGGACACTAGATGCGAGACATAGGAGGCTGGGCTTGTGCAGGAGAGTTTCGCCGAAGAAAGTCCTCATTATCTGTTGTAAACACATGCAATCTTGACATGAGCTACTGTTGCTCATTCGCCGCTTCCTCTCAAACAGAACCCCTTTTATACCCCTTTGATCACATGTATACAGTATACATACCAAATTCATGACATACAGTACGCATGTCTCGAAACTTGCCTTACCAAAAATCAACATATAACTACTAGTAGAAGGCTGCAAGTGCAGCGCAAACCGGAAAATGTTGCACACATCACCAGGCCTTTGAAAATCATTGGGTAAGTTTGACTGCCTCAAGTATTTCAGTCAGGTATGCTAGAAGGTAAGGCAACATGGCTGGAAATAGGGATGGAACAACAAACGACCACGTAGGCCGCGGCCAAAGCGCAAAAACATTGTCGATCCTTGTCGTATTGGCATAAGGTGCATGACAGTCTGAAGCTCCGCATCAAAACCATGAAACACATATGGATTGAGAGCGTGTCAGCAGGTATCAGCTAAGACTAGGTGGGATCAGGTGGGCCCCTGGTTCGTTCTCAGTCCAGGCCCCGTTCGCGTGTTGGGGGGCTTGGGGGTCGTTTTCAATTGATGACGCGAAGAACACAACAAGTCAATTGGCATCTTCTTCACAGTGGGCAGCATGTTGACATCCAAAATGATCCGCGGTCTAAATCACTAGGTGTTGGTCATTGTGGTCGTTTGTTTATTTTGTTTGTGCAACCTTTACGACTTGAAATCTCATCAGTTACCCCTTGTTTCATCTCATAGACTCCCTTATAGAGTGTCTCCCAGGTGTGACTGGGTTTGCCCTCATCGACCACTTGGCTGATGTCCAGCCTCACGTTTGGTGAATGCTAAACGTGTTTGTCGCGCGCGGGCTGTGCAAAGAATTAGGAATCGGAATCAATATAATATGTGTTCAACTTTGCTTAATTATGTCTCTACCCTTGCTTTATTGTTACTAGTGCTAAGGCCAGGAGCCCCTAGTAGCGTCCTTGCTCCTAGTAGCGATGCCCTTTGCTCCTAGTAGCGTTCTTGCTTCATGAAAAATCTGGGTCGACCCAAACAGATTTTGTGGGACATGCTACTTGTCCTCCCTGGATCTAAGGGTTTCTCATGGTTTCTCTCCATATACATCCTCCATCATGATAGTTTTCTCAGTCTTCATGCCCACAATGCTCCTATGTCTCTCACATCTTGTTGGACTTTCTCCAACTGTTTTATTTGGGGTGACACGGCCAATCAAGTGGCCGATCTGCACAACCAGCAGCGTAGCACCCTCCTAGCCTAGTGGATCGAAGAACAACAGCCCAATCACTCCAGCGCAACGTCGGATCGAACACAGAAATCCAAAAGGCTACGCAGGCAAAAGCGACGGGAAGCGGAAACAACCCATAAGTTCAGAGGTCTTCAAGGCCTGTCTTTAGTGCCATCGGCTCCTTATTTATTACCAGAAAGACTCCAATCTTAGACTACCATGCCGCATGCCTCAATGCAGGCACAGGGCACAGGTGGGCAATCAATCAATGCACCATTGATTGACGAAGGCGCACTGATGCTTCGCAAGAGCATGTCATATTCAATTTACAAGTGTGGGTGTGGCGAACACCAATGTTTGCCCAAGATTGCCCAAGAGAATTACTCTGGAAATGCTGCATGTTGGGCCATTGATACGTCGAAGGGTCTGGCTATGCAAAGGACACTGGGGAATTTCACCGGGACCAGTGGGTCTGCTTCGTGGGTCTGCTTGGTTGATCTGTGGGACATGACCTGTGAGGCAGCGACATCTATTCCACACCGAAGCACTACACTGCTGGGACGATCAGGAAAGGCTTCGCCTTCTGTGCGCTGCGGAAAAAAAGAAGGGCAAGTGCCCGGCACGCTGAAAGACACAGCCCCCAAGGATTTGCATGGATTCACTCTGATTCAGTCATGGATTCTTATGGCTATGCATTTGTATGATTGGTCTTCCAAAAATGTCGGATTCTTGACGAGTCCCCAAACAAGAAAAGGGTCCCTGTCTACCTGGTCTTCCAGACCAAAAGTTCACCTACAAAGCCCTCGAGAACCAACTTGAAGCATTGGGCATCAATGTCAATATATAGCTATTCCCGTGCACAGTCGTCAATCTTGGCGAGACCAAATGGACAACCTCTCCCAGCTGGTCGAGCGGAAACATCTCAAACCAACTCCCTTGATTGGTCGCCACTTTGCTTTCCCGGGGGAGCATATTGATGTATTGGCATAGACTCAGGGAATTAGTAATGTGAAAAATGATGGATAAACACATACAACTAGTTTTATATAGTATGTAGAAGTTACTGTAATCTAGACGGAGTCTATGTCTGCATTCACGAATCCGAACTCTTCTATATCTTATGCTCCCGGCACTCCCCCGTTTGCGGGGATGCACACCTCCCCAACCTGGCGCGGTGGAAACCCAACGCAAAGCGCGGCGGGTTCTCCGCAGCTCAAATCGATAGCGTTTCCTCGGTTGTCACGATCAGGGGCCGAGCGGCCCTGAAGTGAACTTCCGGTGGTGGCAGGGTGAAGAATCATGAAGAATCTTAGCTAGGAACAAGAAGCTACTAGTAACAAGGGCATCGCTACTAGTAGTTTCTGGCATTTCTACTAGTAACAAGAAGCTACTAGTAACAAGGGCATCGCTACTAGTAGCTTCTTGTGAGCAGAACCGAACTGGTCTTGGGAACCTACCCAAACACAGCGGCCCAGCTGTTTCTTGCTCGTGAGCTCAAGGTCGGGTGAAATGGCCACGGAAGCTACTGCGTGCTTTCTCCCGTGCACAACAGTCAAATGGGCGCTTTGCCCACTTGAGCCAAAACAAGTGTTGTGAAACAACTGTGCAAAAAGACACAAGGGCTGTTAGGGACAGTATCATTCACACTCGCCCCTCAGCCGGCAGCTACACTAGCTAGGTCCGGCTCTCACTCCAGCCCGCGCACGACCGGCCGCTGGGCACCCCACGCCGAGCTTTACCACTCCGCTTGGATGCATCCGGCAGGATGTCGCGCAAACACTGTGCTCAGGGGCCATCCGTCGAAGCCCGAGCACGTCCTTGACCGCCTTGGGTCTTATTTTGCTGGAACTGCACTTCTTCCAGCGAAGCGCCCGCGTCCCAGGACTCCGAGAAGTGGCTCAGGAAATCCCGGACGGACTGGTGCTCCTTGGGCATAGTCAGCAACAACCCTGACTCACGATTGGACTTTGACGACGTTGTCCAATTGCAAGAGCCCAGCACCAAGTACGCGTGCACAGCAGTCATGACCAAACAGCTTTTGGCGTGTTGGATACCTTTCAAGTTGGCTCCAACTCTGACTGCTCTTCCGTCTTCCTTGTAGGTCTTCGCAAGACTTTGCCCTCTCGCGACCCTGACGGAATGCCCACCTGAACGAATCTCCAGCAAAGACTGAAGCTGAAGCTTCGTCCGGTGGGTCTGACCCGCGTCGGCAAGCAATTCGATCTTCCCTTTATGCTTGGCGAATGCTTTGGTCAAATCTGGCTGGTCTAGACTGTAGGCAGCCAGAAAAACAGCAGAGTCAGGGTGTCGCTCTAGCAAGTCGATCACCGCTTCTTGTGATGCACGGTCCTTTAAGTATTCGACCGTGATCTCTGCTGACGACGCGCCGCCCTTGGGCCGAGGTGCGCGCACCGCGGCAACCGCGTCCTTCTCACGGACCGCGTGTTGCAAGTCTTCATTGACTCTTCCGTGCGTCAGCCCCTTGAAGCACCCTGCAGTCGTCTCCTTGGACTCATCAGCGCTGAACAAACGCTGAGCCTTGCTCACTACCCCCGTGAAGCAAAGAGCCTCCGTGGAGCGACCACTGACACCCATACTCTTGAGAGCTGCTGCACCTTTATTTTTCACCACAGATCCTTCTTCAAACTGGACGGCCCGACTTGGGCCCAACCCCATCATTCTGGCTTGTTCGACGGCGGCATCAATATGCCCGCACGTCCCTGCATCAATGAACCCTCGACAGGCACAAGCCGATTGGCGCGGCGTGGTTAACCGCATCCACACGACGTGCTTTCCCTTCGATCCGGACACCTCCCAGCTTGTCTACCCATCGGGTTTGTACTCCAAAAGTTTTGCAGGCAGGGTGTTTCCATGATAAGCTCGCACAAGCCTATTGGCGACAGTTCGGCCAAGGAACCATAGCCCCATGATCCCAAGCCCCAAGACCGCCGACTTACAGATCAGGCCGGTGATCTGGATGGTCTGAGCTGTCGTCTCTTCGATCTCGAAGAGCACCCTGGAACTGAGGCTGCTGATGCTGTCAAGCACCTCCTCAACTTCCTGCTCCGTCCTCCAGGCGAGCGGAATCAAACTTGCGCCGACCAGGACCTTGACCGCTAGGTCAACAGACGGTCCATTGCCATTCAAGGCGTGCTGCAACTTATTCAGCACCTTCCTGGGAGCAAAGTGTTTCTTCCAGGGCTTGCTCACCAACCTTTTCCTCATACCGATCTCAAGCGCTTTCACAAGAGAGAGGCCCTTGACTGTCCGCGGCGCTCTGTGCCCGCGAGGCGATCGGTGGTGAACGCGGCCACACCTGCATACCTTCTTCTTGTGTTTCCGGCCGGCTCTCTTCCTCCTTTTGACTTCCGGCATCTGCCTGAGAGTGCGTTCGACCAGACGCTCCCTTTCGGAATCAGAGCTCTCATCATCCCCACGATGTCGACTGCGCAGGGTGGAGCACTGGTAACATTTGACGCGCGAGAGCATGTTCTCTCCGCCGCATCTGTCACATTCCCACCTACCAGCGGCAAGGGCCTTGGCAAGAAGAGTCGAGAACTCAGCCTTTTTCGCAGCCCGTTCTCGCCTTCTAATCTCGCGGTAGAGTTCATTGGCCCATTCCGTAGAATTCCAGAAGCTGTCTTCGCACACAAAGCAGTATTCATCTCCTGGCGCATTCACTGCGCCACATACGTGGCAGACCCAAGACCCCCATTCGAAGCGAACTGGCCTCAAGGAGAACCGTTCTCTGCTAGAGGGTTCTGGCGGGGTTCCATCCGGACTTTTCGGCCTGCGAGTTGGCAAGTCCGGACTCCTCGGTCTCCGAGGCGGTGATCTCGAACTCACACCCCTGGACCGCGACCGACTCCTTCCAGAGCGACTCCTTCCAGAGTCGCCCCTCTGCTCATGATCCCCTCCGGTCGCCTCCTCTTCTGAATGAGACCGGTACCTCTTCTCCTTCAGGTTAGCATCCCTCAGGATCTTGAGTCTCTTAGACGGCCTTCGGTGTCTGCGCCGTCCCGAATGGCCTTTCTCAGAATGACCTTCCTTTTTGCTCCTCTTTCTCCTAGCCGCCTTGGCTTCTAGATCAGGGGATGCTTCTCCTTCTTCTACCTCCACGAATTCTTCCCCGTCATCCTTAGTTGGCTCTAAGGTTTGCTCCTTTCCCTCGCGCTCACCGGCTGCTGAGGGAGCTGCTCCTGGCTCTGTCTCTAGAGTCCGATCTTTGAGCTCCGCTCCCAATGATGCGTCCGATGATAACGGCACTCCTCCTGCTTCTGGCTCTTCGCCTTCGCCTTCCGGACCCTCAGTCTCAGCCGACGTCGGCGCCGATCCCTCGGCTTCGCACGACGCGGGGCCTGCCACAGCTGTAGCTTCCGGTTCCTCTGCTTTGGGCGGATCCAGCACAGGACCTTTTTCTCCACTCGAAGGCACCACGGAGGGCAGGCTAGCAGCGGCCGTAGGTTCAGCTTCCTTAGCTTCTTCTACCTTGGCAGGAGTTGGAAGCGGTCCGGCATCTCTCGAGGGCAAGCTGGACGAAGCCGGAGCGGCAGCTTGTTCCCTATCGTACCGTTCCGCAAGCTCGAACATCTTGTTCACGTGTTGGATGCTTCCCAGATGCTCATCCGTGATCCAGGACGTCCCAATTTTCCCAGCCCTGGACTTGCATAAGAGGCATATTCCTTCTTCGGTCCTCCAAAGAGGGCGAGGAATATGGGTCCACCAAAAGTTGGGGGGTTCCCCCTCATAACCCCGAGGCACTCTAGCACGAGGTCGAGAGACAACAGGAGGCGCGGCCTTGCGGCCCGCGACCTCCCGCTTATGCCCTTCAGGAGGCGCGGCCTCTCTGCTCGCGACCTCCCCAACCTTGACTTCACTGCCCTCCGGCGGCTCAGTCAAAGGTTCCGCCCTTACCGGCTGCACCGGTTCTGCGACGGTCCTGAGCTCTGCGGCACTCCGGCTCAGTGGACGACTACCAGCTGCTTCAGCTGGAGCTTCTTCCTTAACTCCTCGCCAAGAAGAAGAGGCCGCGCCCTTAGGGTCCGCTGGCTCGTCGTCATCCGTAGTCGTAGCTTCCGTGTCTCCATCAGGAAGCTCGATCACTCCAGACAGAACGTCGCGAGCTTCTGGCGCATCCTTAGCAGGAACCAGCTCGAACCCCGAGTCAGTGATCTCGGCCAAGACCTGGTCATAGGCCTGAGACTCCTCCCCTATGGCCAAGATGCGCGTCAGGCTCTCCGGTGGAGCTGCCAACGACAAGAGCACAGCTGACGCGCCGTACTCCCCGTCCGCTCCATGGTACATCTTGACCCCATGCGCCCACAAGTTGCGCACAGAGGTCTCCACAACCGCGGTCGAGTCCGCACGGAAGCCGGTCCTTCCTTCGCCAGGACTCGGTTTGCTTCCGGCGACCCAGTACACCGTCAAGCGGTTGCTAGCATCCCCTCCACCTGGCAACATCCCGAAGCGCACAATGCCATCGCACCGCTCCAGAACAGTCCCGTGCCAGAGGGGTGAATCACCTCCCAAGCCTCGTTCAGCGAGGGATTGGCTTGTCACCTCATAGTACACTTGGCTCGGATCGCTGATCCCACTATCCGAAGAGTGCCCTTGCACCGCCCGGATCCAGTCGTTCCGAAACCTCAAAGCGCTTCTTTGCGCCTTTCCCGTCTAACTCGATCGCCTTCTGCATGTGAGCGACCGGCACTTGGAAGAGCTCGGCGGACGCGTCCAGCCGGATCCAGCCTTCTGGGTCCAGACACCCTCGGTGGTCATAGCCACCGTGACGGTAAGCCTTTGTCATGGCCCGTCCCATTTCTCCTGCGTCCTCCCAGTAATTCCTCTTCCAGTGCTTCTGACCCTTGCCCCTTCCGCGCCCCATTCGGCTCGCTGGACTTCCGTCCGCGGCCACGGCCCGCGTCCCACGCCCGACCCGGTAGCTCTGAGCAACAGAAACGGCTGCGGCGAAACATGAACATGGGGAAACGAACAACGTGAACCGAACGACGAAGACGCGAAGACGCTGAAACACAGGGCAAAGAACGGACGGGTAGGGTGGTTGTGGTCCGAAGTCACCTCGTCGTGCTTGGTGGGGGGACCCGAAACCGACGGGCCGGTCGAACTCTTGACCCCCAGCGCTTCCAGCGCCGACCCCGCTGGCTGCACCGCTTGCACCGGCGCATTTTGGCACGCTCTGCGGACCTCTTCTTCGGCCTGATCGTCTGTCAGGTACCGACCATCAACCACTCTTCCTGTCCTGACCGTCAGGTCGTCGACATAGGCTACCCACTCCCGGGTGTACTTCATTTTGCGTCCTCGACCAGGGGCGTACGCCCGATCCACAACATAGCAAAAGTCATCAGGCCCATTGACTGGGCCAAAGGTCAAGCAGACAGGGAGGAACTTCCCGCTCCTGGCCACGATTGCAAGCGCTTCCATAGCCCGGCGGGTATTCTTGATCTGGTTAAAGCCGGTCACGGCGTCCACGAAGGAAAACCAGATGCTACCCGCGGCCGTGGCAAGAACATCGGTGGCCTTTCGGCAGTAGTACGTGGACCGAACGACCCGAGAATTGACTCTTCGGTAGTCAACTACCAATCTTCTCTTCCGATGGCGCTTATGCGCTGGCGCCTCCCGAGTCGGAAATGGTGGCGATCCCCACGCCGAAGTCCCGCGCACTATAGCTGGCCGCGACGAACTTCCTCTTCAAGCTTTTCGTCGACCCAGGACGCAGCTTCACCCTTCAAGTTGTGAGGCTGCGAATTCACAGGTGGACCGGACGGCACACAGTCGTGAAGCACGTTGCGGACAGTCGTCCGCGGCGACCCTTCTAACCAGAATCCGCCCGCTTTCCTGCTGATCACTTCACGGCAGGCCTCCACATCGGCCGCAGACAAGTACGGCTTCTTTTCTTTCCAGTCATCGCCAAATCCCAGCTCCTTGATCACTTCCTGGCGGTATACCACAGTCCGCCGAGGATCTTCAGTGACCTTCTGGCCAGAATACTGATAAACCGAGAGATCCGCCTTCACCGTGCGCACGAGTTTTCCATAACTCGTCCATCTGCTTGGACAAGGCAGCTACTTCCTTGTCCAATTGCTCTCTTTCTGCTGCGCTGAGCTCATCAGATGTGACAACTCCTTGCCGTTCACTCACAGCAGTATAGACAGCATTCCGCGAAGACACAGCTTCCAGCGGAGGAACCCTCTGGCATATTGAACGCGCTGGAGACCTACGGAGCGCTCTTTTTAAGCAACTCATGTAAGCATGGCAGCACGCAGGTTCATAAACCCCGCTCAAGATGCCACAACCCATCCATTTGGTTCCTCCGGAGACCTCGATCTTGACTGAGCCTTTGATGTGCCGATGAGAATGTTCTGTTTGCCCGAGGGCGTCAGGACGACCGCACCTCAAGGAAAACTCACTCAGACAAAAGTTGCTCAGCCAGATTTGTCCCTTCTTCACAGGCTGGCCGAAGCTCCCATCGGTCAGGCCCTTGGATTCCATCCCATATTGGCAACCATCTGTTGATGCATATTGCCAGGGAGGCTTCGGGCTAGCGAGCTGACCAAAGCTGCGAACCCAATCGTCTTCGCTCCATAGCTGGCTACCCGTTGGACTCTCAACCGTCCCTTTTCTTCCTCCCTTCTCCTGCTCAGCGAGAACTCGCATGACCAACTCCCTCACGGACCGGTCATTGCTGTCCGGCTTCCTCTGGCCCATCACGCTGTAATGCTCACATGGCAGTCCAGCGTGAAGCGCCGCCGGCTGCAGCACCATGTACAGACACCAAAACAGCTCCTGGTCCACGGGCGAGCTCAGATCCCAAGCCTTACCGAAGGCAGGATAGAGTCGATCCAACGGTGGCGCGACGCTCAACCTTCTCTGCCTCGCAGCGAGGGTGAGCCCTGCTTGCCCAGCAAAAAGTTCCCAAAAATCAATGCGCGAAGGTGGATGAGCTTCCAACCAGGACCACACGATTCGCCCCTCAGCCGATTGCCACACAGACGGCCAAGAGGGGAGGGACTCAACAGATAGGAGAGCCAGCACTTCCTCAACAAGGGGAAGATACTCAATGGGCTCAGTCTTAACGAGGTGAACACGCACGCCCGCCTCCTTCAATGAATACCCTCCTTTGTCTAACTTCCGCGCCGAACTGGCCGCGAGAGCTCCATCCTTCATAAGATCCACCTTGCAAATGACTTCCTTCATAGTCACTGGCTCCAGAAGAGGGCGGGTGCCCTCTTGGCCCCCACGCCCTTCTTCATCCAAATATTCTAACTTCCACTTCACACGAAGGCCTGTAGCGTCAGGCATATAGCGGTGTACACTCACCTGAGCCTGCGCTGCATCGACCTGCGTGACCCTTCCTAGGTGTGCGACCTTGTGAACATGGACCTTCTTGTACGCGATTTTGTCACCAATCCGCAAAACAAAATCGCGTCCGCGACGTTGGAGCGTGAACTCCACCTGACGAGCATCACCTGATGCTTGCTGACCCAAACTGGGCCCTTCATCGCCCGGTTCATCAAAGACAACCGGGGCCCGGGACTCTGCGTGAGAGTCCGCTGGGACCAGAATGCAGTCTTCGGCGTGCGCCTCGTGCCTGCGACGAACAGCAGACGCACCCGCACCAGCAAGAGCCGGCTCCACGGCTTCAAGCCAAAGGCGATTGCCCCTAACATCAACCACCTCCCAAGGGCCGTGCAGACCAGGTTTCCAAGGGACACGAGCCGCCACAGCTTGGCATCTTTCCGGATCAGGTAGCATCCCGTGCCTCCCGATCAGATGTCCGAGGAGCTTGCCATGCTCCACGCAAATCTCGGCTTTGGAAACGCCGAACGAAAAGCCAAAAATGATCGACTTGTCCAAAAAGCCCTCCAGCGAGACAAGGTGGTCCAACAAGAAAGGATCTGCCTTCGGATATCGCTCGCCGAGATCCTTCCTCAACTGTTCATAGTAGTAGTCTGTAGGCGTCTCTTCGCCCATCTTTTCCAAATCCACAGACTCTACTATGTGAAGACACGGATTCATGACAGTGTCCACACCATCACTCTGCCGCAGACCGCGACTCATCTTGAGTCCGCTGGTCGCGCTACCTGGCAACCACCCTGCTTAAAGGATCTGTTTTTACAAATAGGTTAACAAGATTAAGCCTTTTAGTTATTTACTAGTAACTGTTTATAACTGTGTGCTAACCATGTAGTAACCATGTATAACCTCTTATAATGTTGCTAACTAGTTAATTATATTGGTGACAGTTGCTAAAGTTAAGATAACTTTAGCTAACTAAGTTAATTATGTTAAAAAGTTAGCACACTTAGTAACTAGTTAACAAAAAATCAACATAAAGTATCAATTAAAAATGTTGCTTTTCAGTGTTTACAAATGCTGTGGTTGTTGAAGTTTTTTGGTCCTGGTTGCATATTGCTTTCATGTGCCAGCAAGCTTTCTCGCAACACTGTTGCAGATGAAAAAAGCCTGTTGGCTTAGGAAAAAAGCCTGTTGGCTTTAATGTTTGTGCCTTAGCCAGAGATGTGTTTTTGAAAGACCTTGCTTTGGCTTATGGATTCAGCTCAAAACACTGCTATACCGCCCTTGCCTGAGCACTTTGCACCAATGGCTGACAGATATTTTGTGGTGTCTGATGGCAACTTGTATGAGCTTGATCCTACAGAAGACTCGCAAGCCATCTTGAGTGTGCACCTGGAGCCCACACTCTATGCCATTGAGTGTGGAAAGGCTCAACCACTGAGTTCCACACATGAAGTTGGAACACAAGAAGCTGGAACACAAGCAGAAGTTGTTGCTTTTGCTTTACACCCAGCAGCTGTGTTTTCTCTGAAGAAGGTCACTAAGAAGGGTGCTTTGAAGCTTTTGCCTTGGGGCATTGTCAGCAAGGCAAAGAAGAAGCCAGAGCACAACACATATATTGAATACTGTGGCCTTTTCTGGAACATAGCCCCTTTCAAAGCATGCAGCAACTTCGCCCAGGCAGAAGGAGTGCTGAGCCCATTTTGGTGGTGCAAGGGCACTACAGAGTCAGAGTTTGCCAACATGGAGTTTGTGCATTTGAAAAAGAATGGCATCAAGATCCCTTATTTGCAGAATTGCAAGCCCTTGGCCAAGCATGAGCAATTGATGTTCTTGGACATGAAGGCACTTGAAGTTGCAGAAGCCAATAATAAGAGAAAACTTGGACATCATTGACTAAGCAACACTGCGATATGAAAAAAGTGCACAAGGAGTGGCTTCTGTGTTTGTGGTCTGTTGCAACAGCCTGTTGGCTTGCAGTCTCACTCTTCTTGGAGCCTGTCGGCTGTGTCTACCTCCCACCACCTTAGGTTATAAAATTGGCTTGTTGGCTTTCATTTGTCATCTTGCAGCCTGTTGGCTAACCACTGGTTGTTGAAGCGCTGCCTGTTTGTTTGGGTTGTGTTGGATTTCCCAATCACCACATGCTTGCTAAAGCCTGTTGGCTCACAAGCCTGTGGGCTCACAAGCCTGTTGGCTGCAAGCCTGCTGGCTGCAAGCCTGTTGGCTGCAAGCCTGTTGGCTGCAAGCCTGTTGGCTCACAAGCCTGTTGGCTGCAAGCCTGTTGGCTGCAAGCCTGTTGGCTGAAAGCCTGTTGGCTGCAAGCCTGTTGGCTGATAGCATGTTCTGGCACATAGCCCATTGTTTTCAATCCAAAGCCTGTTGGCTGTGAGCCTGTGGGCTGGAGCAATGGCATTGGTATCCCCCCACCACTACCTATAGCCCACAAGAACATAGTTTTGATACTCTCTTCATGTTTTTTGTCCCACAAGAACATAGTTTTACTGTTTTCATGTATTTGGGAGGTTTGAGGTGCTGCTGTAGTACAAACAGTTTGTTTGTTGACTGGCACTGGTTGATTGCAGGCCAGCCGGTGGGCTCAAGTCAAGACTATGCCTGACAGGATTACAAGGGTGATGAACACCTCAGAGGGGACCTGGCTTATCATGGACTCTGGGTGGCAAACCTGGTTCCCTGGAAAACAATTAGGTATATTGAAGCCTTTATATCAAGAGCATTGTTATTAGTGTTTTGTTTTTGCTTTTGAGGTTTCCATTGGATGAGATAGTGAGGGTTGTTTTTGTTTTTCATTGCCATCTAAGGCTTCCCTTGGATGAGATGAATGCCTTGGTGATCACAAGCAGCTGGCAGTGGCATAACAACCGCTGGTGGAGAGTTGCAATCTACGATGGTGGTGCCTTATTTGCACAGATATGATATGTGCAGAACTCAAAAAACTAGATTTGAGTGAGACCACTTCTTATGCTTGCAGGTTGGCAGAGATGGATTCCCAAGTATTGGTTGAATGAGCGTTGCTATGTGAGGAATGAGCTGACCCTAAGTATGTTCTGTCCATAGCCCTGGAGAGCTAGATGCCTGGCTATGCTGTTGAATAAAACCAATTGCAATCTTGTTGTGTTGAAGGCCTGTTGGCTGAAGCCTTTTGGCTGTATTTGGTGCATTGAAGCCTGTTGGCTGGTAATCCAAAAGCCTGTTGGCTGAAGCCTTTTGGCTGTGTTTGGTGCATTGAAGCCTATTGGCTGGTAATCCATAAGCCTGTTGGCTGAAGCCTTTTGGCTGGGTGCATTCAAGCCTGTTGGCTGTTCATTGACAAAGCCAGTTGGCTGCAAAATTCTTTTTGGAGGAAATGTTGGATGAAGCCTCTTGGGTTAAAGCCTATTGGCTGCATGATTCTGGTTGTAAGCCTGTTGGCTGACAGCATTTGTTGTGTTTTCCCATGATGTTTTCACTGTTCACACCAAGGGTTCTGCAGTTGTAGCCTGTTGGCTCAAGTGATGCAAAGACACCTCAAAGCAATAAAAACAAATATATATAAAACAAATAGATATAGCAATACTTCTATTGATATATACATATATATGAACTGTAATGATGTTGACCCAAGACCATTTGCAATGATTATTACATTGCAGTTACCTTGGGTAGGTAGCCAAAATAAAAAAAACAACAGTTTTTTTAAGTTTAGAAATCTAAACTTAAAATCGCAGATCTCAATTTTAAGTTTAGAAATCTAAACTTAAAATCGCAGATCTCAATTTTAAGTTTAGAAATCTAAACTTAAAATCACAGATTCCATTTTTAAGTTTAGAAATCTAAACTTAAAATCACAGATTCCAATTTTAAGTTTAGAAATCTAAACTTAAAATCACAGATCTCATTTTTAAGTTTAGAAATCTAAACTTAAAATCACAGATCTCATTTTTAAGTTTAGAAATCTAAACTTAAAAATCAGAGGTATCATTTTTAAGTTTAGAAATCTAAACTTAAATGTTCATGCCTCACATATGAATTTTCAATATGAAACAAACAGTTTCCTTTCATTGCCCTACCAGTGGTATAGAAGCAATGGAAGTAAAGAGAGAGCGCAGCAGTTCCAGCAAAGACCTTTGGATTGATTCAATACATGTTTTATTTTTGTATTTTGTTTTTGGACCAGCACCAAAAACTGTGGAGAACTCAAGTAATTGAGGCTTATAGTCTGGGGAGCAAGGCAAAATGCAGGCCAAGAACAAGAAGCAGAACGCCCTTGCAAAGGAAGTATGTCAAGAATGAGATTGTGACCTCACCAGAGTATGACCCATTTACAGAGGGTCCAGCAACAAATGATGCTATGGATGCTGACTACTTCAGGTCCCTACAAGAGATGGAGGATGCGATTGACTTGGAGCCAAGTGTTGAAGCTACAAGCCAGTTGGCTGAAGCAGTAGAAGCTCCAGCAGCAGATGGTGCAGCAAGTGGTACAGCTACAGCAGCAGCAGATGGCACAGCTGAAGCTGCAAGAGATGGTACACCTGATGCTGCAGCAAATGATACAGCTCAAGCTGCAGCAGCAGTGCCTGCTGCAGAGGCTGTCCCTCCTGCAGATCCAAGCGAGTTGGCTGAGGCACCTTGGAGGTCAAGTGACCAAGCTCCTGTTCCACCTCCAGATGAAGCAGTGCCTACAAGCAGACTTCGACCTGCAGAACCTGCTGGCCCACCACCTCAAAAGGGAGAAGGAAAAGGTAAAGGCTATGGGAAGCAGCAAAACCGACCTTCACAAGAGAGAATGGGTTGGGCAAACAGGGCTGTGAGTTTGATTGCTGCCTGGGAGCGACAAGACTGGAGGGAGATGAACCGCCTCTGCCTTCAGCATCCTTCTTTGGTTCAATAAAGGTTTGCTTTTGTTCTGTTTTCTTTGGTTCTTTTCTGTGGTTTACCTGTTTCTTGGAAATCCATTGGGTACTACCCAGGTACAGGAGATTCACAGTTGGAAGGCACTTGGGAAAAATAAACATATATGTTCTATAGTTTTCCAGTGTTGTGGTGATTGGTGTTGCAACCTTTGGTTTTGTGGTCTCATGTTGCTTCACCACATCACACTTGATCCCTGCAGGGACCAGCAGCAGACTATGGGCGACCTTGTGGACCAGCACAACAGGCAGCTGCAGCAGTATGGGCGTGATCCTAACAGGCCCTGGTGACTCAATGGTGACCACAAAGTGGCGGGACCAGAAAAAAGGTGCTGCTGTCCACTGCAGCCTGTTGGCTTTGATATAAATAGGTCCCTTTTTTTCAGAAAAGCCTGTTGGCTATTTTAGCTCAAGCCTGTTGGCTTCCTTTTGCAATCTCAAACAGTTTCTTGTTGAA